AACCAAACAACACGACAGCCTAGTGATAGCTTTGTACCTATCGTCGAAGTCGTTTATATACAAAAAATGAGGATGGCTAGGTACCATTAGTGATTTGAACCTATAGAGACTGACCATCTGTGTGCGCGCAGATTGGTTGCTAGACGGTTGGTCACTGCATTATATGGGAATAGGATACACATGGAGGAAATTGTTCAGTGAAATCGCGTGTCAGAAAGTCCTTAGTCAGGAAACTAAATAGGAAGCAAGTTGGATGTGTATCCGAGGGCAACAGCGAGGAGATCGTTTGAGGAGTAGATAAGAGCCTATGTGTAATTTTTTGTGCAAGCTAAAGAGGACTGAAGGGGACAATACGGAGATGTTCTGTTGAAGCCTAAGTTTCACTCGGAACCAAAGGGAACAATAGAAATAATAATTAAATAGTAAACTTGGTGTGCGTCAGTCGTATAGTGGTTAGGACGCTCACCGACCATGCACATGGTCCGGGGATCGATCCCCAGCCACGGACGCACTCCTTTACCTCGCTAAGCCAGAAATAATGCTGGCGAAGAGGAGAGGTTGGGTGTGAGGCTAGTAAACCCATCCTGCAAAAATCAGAATTGCTACAGAAACTTCAAGCCCTATGTTCCACTGGGGAACGTGAAGGATAAAAAAAGTAAACTTGGTACATTATGGACATCAATAGATGCAGTACACGAAATTGCATAGTTTGTGAGAGAGCTGAGACTAAGACCGGAGGCGCAGACCAAAACAGGTGGTCGTCTTAAGCAGCTACCGCCGAGCCTTTGACTTTGATTTTTTTATTACAGCTCGATTCCACTCCGTATTTTTTCGTACAGGTATGGAATTTTCAGCATGTGGTATCGGTAGCCCAAATTTTGCAGGCCGACCACAGAGATCAGGTGTGCGTCAGCAGGGTATCAAACCCCGGATCATGTGCATGATCCTCGAGAGTCCTAAACACTGTGCCACCAACTCACTTGAAGTTTGATTGATAAGGCAGTGAAACATCGATAGGAGCTATATTCATATGACTTCAGGTGACAGAAACAGGTTCATATGCCTCCGCATTCTGGAGCCCATGTACATTACATGCTCGGAATAAGGATTTCCTAGCTCTCCTAGGTAGACCTTAATGTCTGCCAGTACGCTTACATATGTCAGGCGTTCGCATTCGACCTTTCACATTTGTGAGAAACACATACTTTTCATTGTATGGAGGATTTCATAATGAGCTGACATCAGTTAGAGAACCATTGGAAAACCTGGGAGTACTGGACAGCTGTTTCGCCCGTCCTAGTTTGGGACTCTTCATCAGTACTCACCTAGGACCTTCGGGTTACAAGGCGAGCCACTGGGACCCGATCCAATGGTTCTTGGATTCTACTACTGAAGAGTCCCAAACTAGGACGGGCAAACCAGCTGTCCAGTACCCCCAGGTTTTCAAGTGGTTCTCTAACTGATATCAACTCATGATGAAATCCTCCATACAATCAAACAAAATCCCTGTCTGTTATCGACATAGAACTTTGCACATATGTGCGGCAGTTCAAGTCGTCACAAAACAAAATCCCTACAAAAATCAATACTTTTAAACATACTTTTCAATTCATTTTCAACTGCAACAATTTGAGGGCCCATTTAGTGCCTCATCATAGAGAGCATTAAACGTATCTATCCCTATCCAATAGCTTATTGGTCATTTCAATTTATTCAAGTCCACTTTTTTGAACATATTTTTGTCATATGCCAAGATATTAAGAATTGTTAAGTGAAAAGAAGAACTTATAGTATAAGACCAAAGGTAATCCTTATAATTCAGTTGCCAACTTAACTTACCTGCAACCATCACTTTTCACCTTACTTAACGATAAACTTGTATAACAATGTAGTAGTTGGTTAATCATACATCACCAGAACATAACAGTTTACAGCAAAAACACAGAGAAATGGTCTATACAAACAGGAAATGTCTAAGTGAGATAAGAAGCTGTTGATTTTCAAACAAACGAAGTCAAAAGAGACGTCATCTACTTTGTGAAAGATAACTTTTATCAGATAAACTAATAACAGGCAACACACGAACATTCCTGTTCGTCCTGTGTGGTTTGATTCAATGGTAGAATGTTCACGAACCACACACACACACGTGGTTCTGCTTCAAGCTCCACCTGACGCCTTCCTCGACGGGTAATGTTAGCTGACTGACATAGGGTCAAGGCTGGGAAAGAGCTAGTCAGTGGCGGTCAAACCTAAACATGGCTTCACCAGTCCATGAAATTCACAACAGTTAGTTTAAGACAGCTAACCACGTAACAAGGTGTAGACTTCCTGACTGGTTGGTTGAGGTCCTCGGGACGGTAAAAACCAATGATGGGCTAGAAACAATTGGTGATATGGCTGAAAATCGTTCTCAATGGCTGGCTGGTGCAGATGCATCCACTCCTTGTGACTTATCATTCCCAATGAAACTATATTGTTCTTGGTTATTACCATTCCCTTGTCTCACACCTTTGTTTACTGTCTCTATTATGCATTTCTTCTACTTTCTACTCTTGTTTTGTGTGCTACAATGGAAGATTGTGGCGAATTGAACTGGTGCACATCGGTGCAATGTTCTATGTCGAAAACAGACAGACAGACCACCTGACGCACTTCGAAATCTCACCTGGTTAACTAAACGATAGTTAAGCTTGAAAGATAGGGAAGGTTGGGCGTGAAGTTAGGAACTCCACAACGTAAAGAAAAAAGAAAACAACAACACTAGTGAAACCTCAAAGCTTGAAATCCCACGCTCCACTCAGAAAGCAAAGGAATGAAGACAGTAATCGGCAAGTATTTATGAAACTGACAGTCGAAAAAGTCAACAATATAACTATGATATTGACACCACATAAAATTTGATGTAGTGCCTTAAATGAAAACATCATCAATAAGTAGTGGAGTTCTAACAGAGTTCCACTTTACTAACATACAATTAGCTACGTAACATCAATAACCATTATATACTATGCGAAGACGGATAATTTCAGTTTAAGATGTAAAAGACAGTTAAAAGAGGTCGTCGATTCGCATGACAGATGTAAGATTGATGACAATGATATAGGAATTAAATCAGAAATCAAGTAGCTTGGACTTATTCTCTCTTCTGATCTCTCCTGGTCTTCCTATGTCTTAGCGATCCCCAGTAAAATATTCCGCCTGACATTTCAAATTAAGAAGTTAAGGCATTCGGGTGTAATTCAACCCCCCCCGCCTCTTACAGTTCATAAACTCTTGCATCCTACTCATTCTTCTTATTTGTTCACCTTTATTCTTCCCTGGTTTGCTTAAAAAGGACTATGTCACAATTTGTAGAATGCTAAAGACGGTCAGTAGGGTGAGTAATGTCCCAGTGGACCACATAGTTAAGGTCGTTATCGATAGGCACTTGACTTCGAGCAATAAATTTGCTAAAGGGATTTTGTCTGACTTGGAGAATCCACTTTACCCTCAGCTTTCACCTTGCATCTCCTCCTCAGGTAGAACAAGAAGTAACTTCAGAAAACTGTATGCTCTCACGTCTAAGTATAAAAACTCTATGATACCATACTTGGAACGTAGATATGTGATGAGAATAGTGTCAGCCAATAATTAACTAACCTTTTCTCATCTAGTAAGTAAACAAGTTCCTCCATCCATCCATCCGTGTATACCTTCAAGTTTTACTTCTATTATTTCCATTATATTTATGGTCCTGCTACTTCTTTGTTTGTTTTACTCTCATAATTGCAAACACCAACTTATCTCTATGACTGCTGTAATCTTTGTTTTTCCCCTCACCATATCATCATGTAAAGAGAACATGATATTCAATATTTGTAAACATTCTAGGACTTCTATACCGCATTGACAATACTGTGTGAAACGAGCCCACGGAAATTTTCACTTGTATTATTATTATTACCTTAGCTATTATCATTACTATTATTATTTCGATTTTACATGCTGTATGTTTTTGACATTACCCCTATTGTAAATGTGGAAAATTTTCTATGTGATTAATTTTATTTATAATATGATGAAATTAGATGCAATAGTGTGATGAATGCTGAAAATTCCATTCTGTATCACAAGCACTGTTTTTGGAATAGAGTAAATCATTATTATTATTATTGTCTAATATATATATACATATATATATCTGATTCATTTGAGTACCAGGCTTCTAGGAATTCTCTGGCTGCATTTTTGGTGTTTCCTCTGTCTAAGATTTCCCCGTTATCCCAATTGACAATCCCAATCTATATGCATCGATATGAAAGAGTATATATCATGTCTTTTGACAACTGATTTGTGATCTTGGATTCTGATTCGAAGGGACACACACTTTAGCCGATGTAATGTCTGTTACAGTTAGTTTAAGCCAGCTACATAGGAAGGTGTAGACTTCCAGACTGGTTGGTTGAGGTCCTCGGGATGGTAAAAACCAATGGTTGGAAACAATCGGTGATATGGCTCAAATTCCTTGTTCTCAATGGCTAGCGCAGATGCATCCACTCCTTGTGACTTATGATTTCCAATGTATCTATGTCGTTCTTCGTTATTACCACTCCTTTGTCTCACACCTCTGTTTACTATCTCTATCATGCATTTCTTCTACTCTTTTTTCTTGCTTTGTGTGCTACAAGGAGGGAGTGTGGCGACTTGAACTGGTGCACATCGGTGCAATGTTCTATGTCGAAAACAGACAGACAGACAGACAGACCTGTACTCCTTGATTATCAATGGTTCTCTAACTGATGTCATCAACACGTGATGAAAATGGAGATAATCAGAAAGCAATACATGTACATTCATGCAAACAGACAGACAGAGAGAGACGTTTTCATGTTTCACTGCATATATAGTACGTATTTTATTTTTCATACAACATATAAGCTTGTCAAACAAAATACGATATACACTAGTATTAATAAATCTGTAGACGGGGAGAGAAAATATGCGAAAGACACACTTACCCACATAATGCAACAAAACGTCCTGTTGCATCAGCAGCTATCTGTGATATCTGTAATAGAAATAAAATTGTTTATTTGATAATTGGAGCATTCAGTTAATTGATATACACCTTACAGATTATCACGTTGTGTACTTTCGACACATATCTCTATGAGAAGTTATGACTTCCCGCATACCAACCAACAAATCTCAAATTTGCCTTAAAAGTTCGATTACTACTAAATATTGCTGAGGCTAGCTGTTGGGATCCATATTAACAAGTCTGATTTATACATTCAAAAGAAGCTGATTCAGACAATATCCTTACATTGGCCATCCAGATTTGAATGATCCTGAATTTTTGTGGAATTTTCCTAATCTTAGTTGATATTCTATTTGCTACTATGTCTTAATTACTAGTATTATAATTTAAGCATCTTTAATCAGCTGTAATTCCATTGTGATCTTACTTTACAAATCGATATTATTTCCCGACCGAAAGCTGCTACCTTGACGTGGTGGTCGGGCTTGAACACCGCAATGACCTAATCAAGCTATACTGGCTGAGACTTATGTCTCTTGAGGTTCTACCATGCCAGGCAGGTTGTTTGGATAGCGGTTAAACAAAAAGCAGCTACCCATCCAATACCATGATTCAAACAAATTCACAAAATTTCATGCCGGATCGGCCGTGGCCCGGATTAACAACGACCGCGCTTCCTGCTGCCGTGTCACAGGGCAGGAGTGATAAGTATGCTACTGAGACACACCAAACAAAAACAGGCCGCGTGTGACCGGCCTCAAGCAGTTGTCCCCTGGGCTCTGCGGTCACGCAACCAACTTCCACGGTGTGGGCAGCCGGGAAGTAACAAACGCCCTCACAATCCGAAATGCACACAAAACCTCTCTAATCCTCACTTATCTTTGTCTTCATCTTCATCTCTATTACCTTGCCTTCCTCCCACTGATGCAACTCCTCTACTTGATGGCTCCTCACTCCCTCTTCACTCTGTGTCCACTAAAAACGACGGAAGCCAAAAAACCACCACCGATAGTCTCCTAAAGCCACGCCACCAATTTCATATAGGAGCATTTAATGTTAGGACACTTTGCCAAATAGGACAACAAGCATCACTAGCTAAGACCCTGGCATCCGAGCCATTGATGTATGTTGTGTTTCAGAAACACGCATACAAGACCCAAGTGTGGTTATTCACCTAACCCCACCTGGCCAACAGGATGAATCTTCAAAATTCACCTTGAGGGTGTCAGGAGATGCCACAGCTAGTTCACGAGGATTAGCTGGCGTAGGGATAGCTTGAGTACTAGGGCAGAAAAGACATTGCTTGACTGGATCCCGGTAGATAGCCGAATGTGTGCTGTCCGTCTGAACGGATCAGTAAGAAGGAGAAAGGACTGCACTACTCGCCGATGCCTTTTCGTAATCTCCGCCTACGCCCCCACTGACTGCAGTTCGGATGAAACGAAGGATGAGTTCTACCAAAAGCTGTCTAGTTTGGTGAGAAAGGCTAAACGCTCAGATATAGTCGTTCTAGCTGGTGACTTTAACGCTCAAGTAGGGAAATTGTGTCAATCTGAGAAGGATGTCGGTGGCACCTATGGAGTTCCGTGCCAGCGAACCGACAACGGTGACCGTCTCCTACAGTTCTGTTCAGATAATCATTTGTTTCTTGTAAGCACTAACTTTAAACACAAGGAGAGACACTGTTTAACCTGGCGACCCCCATCATCAAACCAACGCTGGACACAAATAGACCACATAGCAATAAGCTATCGTTGGCGTGGGTCGGTAGGAGATTGTCGCTCCTTCTGGAACACGTGTGTAGATACCGATCACGCACTGGTCCGGGCTCGTGTGTGCTTACGACTGAACGGACGTAGGAAACAGCTGGCGGTAAAACCATCACGTCCCCAGCTCGATCAGGAAACTAAATCCCTATTTGAGGAAGAACTAGCTAAACGCATATCTGAATTCGACAGCTGTGCTCACCCTGGAGAAGCCTGGAAGAATATTCAGTCAGCTATAGATACAGCTGTAAAAGCTGTGAATAAGGCAAATCCAAAGGTGAGTAAAAACCACTGGATTTCGACTGCCTCATCCGAACTGATAGATGCTAGAAGACTTATTCCGGCGAGCTCCGAATTCAATGAGGAGCGAAAGCTGCACAAAAGGAAACTTACTAAAAGTCTCCGCAAGGACCGTGAACAGTGGTGGGTGACAAAGGCGAAAGAGATGGAAAAAGCATCGGCGATAGGCAACACTAGGCAACTCTTTAGACTCATCAGAAACGGGTGGGAGAAGGCAATTCATAAGTGAGACTATTTCTGAGAAAAATGGCTCCTTAATTAGCTCTCAGGATAGACGCCTTGAACGCTGGAAAGAACACTTTGAGGGACAATTTAACTTGCCTACAGCCACACTGAACCTCCCCCCATCCACACACACCCGAATGGGATATAGACACTGGTCCGCCGTCTGTAGTGAGGTCACAAAAGCTATCAGTAATTTGAAACGAGGCAAAGCGGCAGGACCCGACGGAATTATTCCGGAGGTGTTTAAATATGGGGGTGACATACTAGTTTGTAGATTAACTGAGGTACTAGGCAAAGTCTGGGAATCAGAGACAGTTCCATCAGACTGGGGTAAGTCACTTATTATACCGATATTCAAGAAGGGAAACAAGTCCTCGTGTGATAATCATAGGGGGATCAGCCTAACGAACATAGTCTCTAAAATCCTAGGCTCAGTAATCATGCATAGACTAAGCAGAACTCGGGAGGAACAGACAAGGGAAAATCAAGCAGGCTTTAGACCAGGTAGAGGGTGCATAGATCATATCTTCACTCTTCGACAGATTCTAGAACATAGACACACTTTTCGGCGTCCAACAATTGTCATATTTCTTGACTTGAAGGCGGCCTTCGACTCCGTGGATCGAAAGGTACTATGGCAATGTCTGACTGTGAAGGGAGTGCCAAGAAAGTACATTGCACTAATCAAGGCACTCTATTCAAACTCACGTAGTCGTGTAAGGGCTTATGGGGAATTGTCATCTGAATTGGTAACAACCAGTGGTGTCCGACAGGGATGTCCACTTTCCCCATTTCTGTTTAACTTCATCATAGATATGCTAATGGAAGTATCCTTAACTGAACGTAATGACTTAGGAATCGACTTGTTACCAGGGAATAATCTTATGGACTTAGAATATGCAGATGACATAGTCCTGTTAGGGGAGGATGCTGACAAAATGCAGAGTCTTCTGAACACCTTGAGCAGCAATCTTCGTATGTTTGGCATGCGATTCGCCCCTGCAAAATGTAAGATGCTGCTACAGGACTGGACCACGTCAACCCCTAACTTAGTGATAGGGAGTGAAGTGATAGAACATGTTGACCACTTCACCTATTTGGGAAGTTGTATTAGCACCAACGGACTGATTGGCGATGAAATCTCAGCACGGATCCGAAAAGCTCGAGCTGCTTTCGCTGACTTACACCATCTCTGGCGTAGGCGTGACATCCGGTTATCAACCAAGGGACGTGTGTACTGCTCATCAGTTCGCTCCGTCCTTCTCTATGGCTCTGAAACATGGCCAATACGCGTTGAAGACATGAAAAGGTTGACTGCTTTCGATCATAGATGTCTGCGATCTCTGTCTCACGTTAGGTGGTTTAATAAGGTAAGTAATGTTGACGTTAGGCGTAGAGTGTTGGGCAAAGAGGGAAAATCAATCGACGAGGCTATAAAGTTACATAGACTAAGATGGCTAGGTCACGTGCTGCGCATGCCTAACCACCGCCTCCCCCGACGGGCATTACTAGCTGATATAGGTTCAGGTTGGAAAAGAGCCAGTGGTGGCCAAACAAAAACATGGCCTCATCAATCCATGAAATCCTTGACAGTTAAACTGAGTCAGGTAGGGAGATGCAGACTTCCGGGTTGGGGCCCTCGGGACTCTAGGAATCAATGGCTGGAGACAATAGGTGACATGGCTCAAAATCGTTGTCAATGGCGCGCAGATGTATTCAGTCTCTGTAATCTTTCATATTCCTTTCTACCATTACCCATTCTGTTTCACTCTTATACTTGTCAAACTCTATTGATTCTCTTCACTCATCTTCTTGTCTACCTCTGTGTGCTATTTGGAACGTGGCAACTCGAACTGCTGCACTTCGGTGCCAAGTTCTATGTTGAATCCAGACAGACAGACAGATTCGAGAATATTCTTTGTATATAAACATATAAAAATTGTAGAGCCGGCAGAGGAGGAAATTATCGAAAAGGATATTCTTTGCTCAATTATTTTGTGCTTTACATTTCCATTCAGCTTATTTGATCTTGATGTTATTGAACTGGAATCTATTGGTATTATTATTGATTAGATGTTATTTAAACAACATTAATGTTGTTCATAACACTAATTCATTCATTCACTATAATGTATGTATATACAACTGTAGAGCCTGATGATGATGAAGGGGTTATCGAAAAGGGTATTCTTTGTTCAGTATCCATTCTTTTGAATATATTAATTAATTAATTAAAATACTTTCTAATAAATAGAATATAAAGACATTATTCCATGTTAGTCAGCCTAATTTGGTTTGCCCAACCCACAGTGAGTGGTACAGTAGAACACACAAAATATACAATTATGACAGGAGACACGATATACAGTTAGACTATTTCAATAAAATGTCTACCATTCCACATATGAATGTAGTAGAAATAAACACCAGTCATATTTTCAGGTTAGTTTCACTTGGATTTTTTTTCACCTAATTTTTTTTTGGTATTTCCCGTTGATTGATAATGCTGAATTGAAATATTCAGTCTCTGCTGACATATGTTATCCCTCCTAAAAGAATCGACGTTTCGTCGATGCCTGAAGATAACATGTTATTATTATGCTGGTGGATGATGACCAACAGTGGGATGATCCTGAATGCGTACTTTATCCAAATGGAGATTCGTCATCTGGACGTACCTGCATTCCTATTTAAGTAACCGTTTGTTCCCGCTGAGGTTTGAAGCATACAACCGTCGTCCTTTCAGAAGTCAAAGGGATATTCACTAGAGAGAGCGGGTATTTCAGTTCAATATCATCAACCAATGGGAAATACAAAATTAAATGAAGCAAATAATAACTAGCTGACACTCGTTGCACAAGAAATGCTTCTCATTGCATAAGTAGTGTTTGAAACGAGGGATGTAAAGTGCGAATTTGCAGCACTCCCACCTTAAGGAAAATTGAAGAAAGTTATCTCATGAAAATCCTCCGAAAGAATGGAGATCCACGGAATTTCATCAAAAAACATATACCCCCAATTCAACCTATCAAACCAAAAGCCCCCAACGAAATCAGAAAGAAAATCGCCCTACCATAAATAAAGGATATCTCAGAAATCACTACAAGACTCTTCAAACCTTTAGGGATTGACAACGTACACAAACCAACAAAGTCACTTCACTCAATTCTATGTCAACCAAAAGACTCAACAACGAAAGAAGATAAAACCAACATCATCATCTACAAAATAAATTGTAACAACTGCGAAAAACACTACATTGGCCAAAGTGGACTACCCCCCCTCTTCGTCTTCGTATCCACGAACATAAGCTAGACGTCAAAAGACATGATGACATCCACTCCCTCGCTCATATCACTACAGACAGACAACCACGGACATCAATTCGACTGGGACAACCAACGTTCAAATATTAGACAGAGGAAACAACAAGAATGCTAGATAATTTTAGAAGCCTGGTATTCCAGTGAATCATTAATCAATAGACACATCAAGAAACCCCACACACAAAGGGTCAAAGAAACAATCAGTTCCAATACAAGTAATCTAGAAGGTGTGAAAACACAAAAACAACCAATCACGTCCATGGTCACCGGGAGAGATGATTAATAAACTCGTGGAGAAATCTAAAACTTCACTTCAAATTGAAGTATACGCTTAAGATGTAGTCTAGTAAGGCTTCGCAAATTGACTATCCAGCTCAGAGAACACAACCACATCAAAAAGGTCCGAATTTCACCCTGTGAATACCATTAGTCACCAGGATGTATGAACATCAACCTGACGAGTAGCAAATAGGACGGAACGCACACCATGGCTTTTTTACTGCTAGTTGTCATCTATCGAAAACTATTAGTACGGCTAATAATCTAATCTCGCAAGTTAAATTAGGCTAGAAGGGATTCGAACTCAGGGTCGAATACTCCTCAAGGCCTAATAAGATACATCTCCATTCTTTTAAAAAAGAGTTAAAGGCAAATATGACAGCAAACACAAACGAATTATTATTTATGATTATTATTATTGTTTCCTTTAATTCCTAGAGGAACATAGGGCTTCAGCCGCGCGTCTCCATTGCCTTCGGTTCTCTGCTAGAGTTTTCACTTGGCTTCAAGTCTCCCCACATTCTTTCATCTTCTTTTCACATGACCTCCTCCAAGTCACCCCACCATCGCACTGACGACCGACTCGCCGCTTTCCTTTCGGGTTCCACTCGAGAAATGGCTTGTCTAGTGATGTCGCTTGATGGTTTCCTCAGAGTACGGCTAGCCAATCCACCTCCATTTCTTCTTGCTTATTTGTTGCACAATCGGTTCCTGATTGGTTCGCTCATTGCCAGAGATCCCTCCCTGTTGCCGATCTTTTGTGATCTTGAGTAATGAGCGAAGACAGCTAGCTGTTGATGAATATCTGTAGTTTGTTTGTGGTGGTCTTTATGACACGCTGGCCAAGTCTCTGATCCGTATAGTGAGTAGCACTGACTGACTTCACATTGGAGTTGAAAATCTGGATCTTATATTTCATGCTGAGTAGTGCTGTTGATCTCCACACAGACTGGAGAGTAATGAATGTTTGCCTTGCTTCCCCGTTGATCCTCGCTTTGATATCCTCGTCAGTTCCGCCCGCCTGTAGTTGAAACGATGCTTCCCAGGTAGGTAGGTAAAGGAGGTTGTTTCTTTCAGGTTCCTCCCATTTATGCTGGCTGTTTGTTGTTTGTTGTTGTTGGTGGTGTTGGCCAGGAATCTTCATCATACATACAAATATTAAGTGATAATAAATGACACTTTCTAGAATAGTATTTCAAGTAGTTGAGACAGTATCATAGATACATGCCGTAGCCTAACTAGGTGTCTCTATTGGTAACGAAATCCACATACACATTTACACATGAACAAAAAACTAATTGTTTTATTAAAGTGTGTTATAACTAAGGCTACTTAATGCACACAACAACAACAACAACAAAAAATAAGCGAACATGTGATTTAATCAATCAATTAATTGATTGTCTACAACGATAACGATGGAAAGGTAAAGATTTTTTTGTCATAGTATAAAAAACAAACAAATGGAATCATCATTATAAAAAAAAACATCACATACCTGAAATCCTTTTAATTCTAATAAATTTGTATTTTGAATATTCTACAAATATATGAATAGAAAGAAACATAACAATCAGCTGATAACAATTATACAAAAAGTAAAAATCATTTCAACAGCCACCACTCTGTCATTTATGCAAAACAACAAAAAAAAAGAACAAAAAATTCACCTACAGAAATCAAACTACCACTTAAATGTCTCAAATGAGGCTAAAAAAAAATCCATCGACAAGTATTGATTGCCATTCTCTCAGCTTTAATGTTTGGTGAAGTCATTGAAACGGTGAATACCAAGCGTAAACGACCTTATCATCACCTAAAAGATGACTGATTTGGTAAAAGACCCATTCAGTATTATTATTATTATTTTTATGACAGTAAAATTGTATACAATTCCTGTTAATATTAGATGGTTGGAGGCAATCGGCCACAGGAAGCCTTGGACCTAGGTTTCGTGCTAGTTGGCACTCACCAGTCAGCAAGGCGTATCTGCAACACTGACACTGACGACTGCTGACTAGCACGAAGCCTAGGTTCAAGGCTTCCTGTGGCCGATTCCCTCCAACCATCTAATATCATCAAATCAATGTGCACCGTGATGGCGAGCTATCTAGAATGGTGGCCGCATTACAACCTGATTAATAGAATTCAGTCTGCACTAATGAGAGGACTAAACACATCACACTAGTTACTAGTGTCAAATCACAATTCCTGTTAGCCTAAAGTAGGAGTGTAGATATTCACTGTCCAATTACTCCATTGAAGAATTATACCTGAATCAGTTATTCTTCTTTATGACTACTGATATGAATTATATTCAGATTGTGGATTTTTGTAGGAAGGTAGATTAACATCACAACTTAGATTTCGTCACAAACCGACAGTACTTATAGCATCACGAAGTGAAAGAAGTTAGGCTTCACGAGTCATTTTATTCCAACCCCCCCCCCAACTTGGCCTCATAACCTATCTGAAGGCTCTTGGTCCGACCCTTTATGCGGGGTGTTATGACTATACACACTGACGATGAATTTCGAAGTAGTACGAAACACTTGTCCAGTGCTCCGTAATTTTCAAAAATCTTTGTAACTGTTGTTGGTACGTGAGCAACGAAATAGGATTTAATTTAAGCCTCGGTGGGAACATCATCACTCACTGAGAAATGCAGGTACATCCAGATGACCACGAGTCCCAAATAGGATGAAAAACGCGTTATCCTGGATTCCACTGCTAGTCATACTATCCACCAATTAAATACTAAATTAAATTAGTTTCAGCAGCAATAATCCTAATGAATGATGACTGAATAAAATATAACGATTTCTTTTAAAAAAACATATATGCATACATACATACACACACACACACAATTTTATTATTAATGTCATCATGTTCTCAGCACGTTGGGCTTCACACTGTGTTATGTGAATTGCCATCAAGCTTTTAAACAACTGTGTCCAACTGCTCACACACTATAGAGATCTGGTAGATTTATTCTTTTCGAAAATTATCACTTACTTACATATATATTGTCTTATATATGTATAGACACCCTGAGTAGCCAGGAGAATGTGAATAGGAATAAAAGTGAAAGTCTTTATACCACAGCTTGTACAAATAAACTACTGATTACTAATACGCTATTGTACAGATAAACGAAATACCACATCTTAATGATTTTCTCCTGTCGTTAACCTAACCAAAGATGACTGTATACTTGAAAAGTAATTCTAAGCAGTTGAAGCCTTTTAAATTAAATATTAATCGACAGATATTAATCGAAAATATTAAATTATAGCAAAACAAATAATAACCTTAATCGGTAAATTACTTTAAAGCTAAACCAACCAGATATCATCTCGTATTCCGTTTAGTTTTATACACACTGAGATTTGGTATAATCTGCTAATATTGCTACTCAACGTTTGCTCCAGGGACAGATTACCTAGGTGCTAAAGTGGATACATAAACGTACAACTTGGCTAAAATAATGATGAAGCTATTGATTAACTCCCCAGGAACTAATGAACAACCCTTTCCTCCTAGTTTGAAAGTCTTCAACACTACGACATAGTCATGTCCCTCCCACCTTCAGGAATTGAACCCAGCACCTACAGTTTACCACCAGGCGAGCATTATGAACACTAGGACACTGAGATGGAACTCACAATAGTCCATGAATTATAAATTCTGCCCAACGTCTCAAACCAGGATGAATCAGATGTCAGTAATCCCTGATTTTCAATGATCCCCCCCCCGCCCCCACCGCCCAACTAAAGTCAACGTTTCAAGTTTATTTAATCAACAATTTTGCTTTCTTAGAAGTTAATTGGTGGATGGTGTGATTAGCAATGGAATCCAGGATAACGCGCACTTCGTCCTATTTGAGACTCGTCATCTGGATGTACCTGCACTCCCCAGTGAGTAATGATGATCCACCGAGCTCGAACCAGTGCCATAGTTTCAAACGCCAAAGCGTTATCTACTAGACCACTTGGACTACGAGAACTGGCCACCTCTTGTGCAACGGGTCTATTAATTTAATTGAATTTTTGATTTTCCCGTCGATTGATTGACGATGAAAATGACCACTCAGAGAAATGCAGTAGACGAATGCGCATCTGGATTCCACTGCTAGCCCATCCACCAATTGTATACTAATTAAATACTCAGACATCGTCGAAGCATCTGCACAAGAAGCCGACATGTCAACCTGAGACCGAGCATCGGTCTAATCAATCGACGGGAAAATCAAAAATTCAATTACATTTTGCCTTCTTGTTTACCAATCTTAACTGTATTACAAAACACATCATTCATTGTAATTTGAATGATTTCAATTTCTAAAGGAAACTGTGGTGAAATTTCACACACCCCACCCACCCGCCTCGAATTGTGTAAACTGCCAGCCAATTTGATTTATTTACAGCAACTAGCCCAAAAGTTCGCTCAAGTAGCTCACCAAAAAATCATGTGCTCTCAACTGGATTCACATCTCTCTCTCTCTCTAAGCTAAGTGAAACCGGGTGTACACCGCGGATAAGCTCAGCACCAAAAAACGAACGAGTGAAACAGCCAGCTAGTTGTTCAGATCACTTAGATGATCTGGTTAGCAAACACTACTGGTGGGTGGGCATACAACTACTACTCGTCTGAATCAGTCAGTCAGTCAATCCGTAGTATGTGGTATTAGTTAGGCAATCAGTAGTCCTATTATGTCTTATGTGAAAAACTCAACAATCACAATATTATTATAACAATCAATAAATAATAAATTGAATAGAGTATCATTGAGAAATAGAAAACTAATAGACACTATTTTTATATATTAGGTATAACACAATTCAATAATTATTTGAACTATACACTTGTGTATAAAAAGAAAGCAATACTTTATACAAACATAAGTACGTATACATATGTGTATGTGTGCAAACGCGCACAGGTGAAGCGCACATACATACATACACAGGAGGAGTAGCTAGCTAGCGGAGCGAGTAAATCACCACACATACATACATACATAAACAATAGGTAATAAGTGTGAGAAGAAAGCATAAATAAAGAGAAAGGAGAAAAATAAAGGAGAATAGGAAGGCCTAAGTAGGCAAAGAGATCATTGTGAGATTATTAATCAGACCATTGAAAAATAATATAAATAAAGTAAAATAAAACAAATAAATACAAAACAAAACAATAAATAATTGTCAAATATACAACAGTGAAATACATTATCCTATCCTATAAACAAATAAAATAAATACCCCCATGGAATGAATGGATGAATAAAATAAAATAAAAGTAAACTTATCAGCATTATAATTTATTATATATATATAGGCAATAAGACTAAGAAGAGAAAATCATAAAATTCTACTGTACTCTTATAACAAAACAACTACTCGTGTGTGGACGAAACAATATTTTTGAGATCACCAAAGTAGTTTTGATATTTTGTCTGCCCTTTTTTTTTCTTTCATCCTGCCATCCTTCCTTTTAATACATATTAATAAGGATAGAAATAAGCTAATAAATAAATACATATCTGTGTATACATATTCACACAGTTTAAAGAAAATACAAAACAGTATGTACAAGAGAGAGAAAAATGAGGAAACAGCTAAAAGAAAACCCCAATGTTCATGTGTCTATGTGTGTGTGTGTGTACATTATATATATATATATATATATATATATATATATGCACAGCAGTACACCGAAAGGCACGAAAAAGGTTTATTCTTCCTTTCTATAATATGCATACATACATACACACCCACAAAGTCAACCTCATTTACTTTTTCAGACTTCCACTGTGCTGAAGAAGCAAATATGTCCCACCTAATATATAATATACAATATATTATAATAATAATAATGAAGACTAATAGTAACAAAGTAGGCAAGAAAAAAAGGGAAACAAAGCAATAACATTAAAATTAAAGGTAACTTCCTTATAGAACTAGAAAAGTAAAAATAATAATAACAACAATAATAATTATAATAATAATACACAAGTAAAACTTATTAACTAGACATTTCCAAGGCAGTAGCTCCACTGCTATCTGTCATTGCACTTGTATTTTTAGATTCTGTTGATAAACGTGGACGTGTCTGGGGTGTAGCGACGACAGTGGATACAGATTCTTTATGAAGATCTGGTGATGAATGTATGGTTGGTGCATAATGATCACCATCATCGTCATCAACATCAGGGAAGATGAGTGGTTTACTGGATAATACAGCACACTCTTCAATAGATGAAATGATTTTATTATCTGTACTATTATTATTTTATTATTGTCACTTGAACATTTTTCATGTCTTGAAGCATTTCCTGTAAGTGGTTTACCGCATAATTCATCAAAACGTTGACGTTTTTGAGGTTTACAATTTGCATCAGATTGACGCGGTAATTTTTTAAATCTTTTTGAGGAGGACTTTTTGGAATCGGAAATAGTTAAAGCACACTTATCAGTGTTATTATTAGTATTATTGCTATTATTACGTAAAGAACGATAAATTATGGGCGGTACTAATGTGTTGCATTCGTTTGATACTTTTCCTTTCGACTGATTACCACATGACGTATTACGACTACTAGAACCACGAGTTAGCTTTTTGCGTTTTAAAGGCGATATACCAGGTGGACATCTTAATCTGCCTCCTCGATGACCTCGACGATTTTGAGGGGGACAAGATGAGTTTAGCGAGACACTTCGTAGTACTGAACGTTTAGACTGTTCTGTACCAGACGGTGAACATTGCTTTGATTCATTAGATAAGCGAACTTTAAGAATATTCTCATCCTCTTCACATTCATCATCACCATCATGAGCTGCTTGTTCAGCTTCAAGAGCAGCTTGCTCTTTTTTAACATCAGAGAGGCAAGGATCAATTGAATTGTGGGGTGAACTTGCTCGACTTAATGTGTTACCTCCAACGGAACTTGATGCAGATGAATAAGATCGACAGGGACGTAAAGGTTCTTCAGTTGATGGTGGACCAGATCTTGTTATAGTGAAATTAGATTTTAATGGATATTCAGTATTTTTAGGAGGTTTGATATCCATAGGATCATTAAATTCATACTCTGAAAGAGTTGAAAGGTGATGAGGTCGTGAAGTAATAGGCACATTGGTCAATGAATCTGTTGATGATATATCATCAGCTAAATTACCAGGATTAACGCCAAAACCCTGTAATATAAAATAAAACATTTGCACATCCCACTTGTTAAGCATAAAACACAAAGCTTTTAAAATAAAGCAAAAGCAATCCTATCCACTACTAACTGCATACATGTATATTTATTATGAATTGAGGTGGAATACATTAACTATGTTGTGGTTTAACATGAAGTGACAGAGGTAGTTCATCAAGAGAAAACACTTTTCCAGGTCCCAATATAGCTAATGGGTTTTGATTTAATTATCTCCAGAGAACTAAATTGAAAACTTCCTAATTTGACCGTTAAAAATTAATATTACTGTTCACATTTATGGGGCATAATAAGCTGGGGAGCTAATCTGTCTGTGAGTAAAGGGGAATGATGCTCAGGAAGGCTTCGTGTGCTTTCGGAAGTGTGTGGGCGGTTATTTCCCGGCTGCCCACACTGTGGAAGTTGACTAATTCTTCGAGTACCTGAAACAGAAAGAGTGTTGCGTGACCACAGAGCCCAGGGGACAACTGCTTGAGGCCGGTTACACACGGCCTGTATGAATTGGTTTCTGGGATTGGTTCCGTATTAGTGAACTTATCGCCGGTTACGGACCACTGTAGGATAAGTCGGAGTGTACAATTTTTGGGGTTGACCTTTTCTAACCTCCTCCCTCCGGAGTGGAGAGACAGTACAGCGGGTAAGCTGGTCATCTGAGGGAAATCCCTCACTGCTGTAACACCCCTGTTCCTCAGTAGTATTTTTTTTATTATTTTATGGTTACAGATTGATTCCACATCGTATTTTTTGGTACAAGTGTGGAATTTTCAGCGTGGATATCGGTAGCCCAAAATTCGCAGGCCAACCATAGATATCAGGTGTGCGTCGGCGAGGGCTCGAACCCCGGACCATGTGCATGGTCGGCGAGAGTCCTAACCACTGTGCCCTCAGACCCTCAGTATAGTGTAAGAAAGATTCTTACACTATGCTGGTAACTGCTTTTAGTCTAAAAGATATCCTAACAACCTTTCTGGTAGTAGGACCTGCAGGAACATTGGTTCCAGACAGTGTAGCTTGTTGGGTCATCGCGATATGCAAGCCCGACCACCACGTCAAGGTAGCAGCTATCGGTCGGGGGGCAGCTAATCCATGAGCACAGACAAAAAATGCACTGACACTAGTAAGAGAGGTGTTTTTTATCCCGGTCCTTAATAAGATTACTGTTGTAATAACTACAGAGAAAGTTTGATCAGACAATTTCTTAAATCCCATGGTCTACATATTTACGACGACTAAATATAGCTAATGGACGAAAAACCTACGAGAGCTAGACAGATTTCAGATGTGACAGTGTATCTACCATATGTTCATCCTCCGTTAGAGCTTGCAACAAAGACACAACTACACACTCCCATTGCTAGCTGTATTTCTTGATTTGGAGATAATTTTTGATTCTGTCAGCAGTGTTTCCAATGAATGCTGCATTTTTGAACACTCACGGCCAGGTTAGAGGCTGTGGTGAGCTAGCCTATGAAATATCTACATTGAATGGTGTACACCCCTGTGAATGTATTCTTATCCTTTCCATAAAACTTTGCAGAAAACATACTCGTGGCGGTTTTTCGTTTTTTCACCTGGTCTCACGGAGACGGACATCTTAGCAGATTCAAAGTGACCCAATACAAGCGATCTGCTAAGGTTTTGGGTATCTGATCATTGACTTCGTGGCACTTTTAATGCTTAACGCAGCCCTAGGCGAGCAACGCAGAATCTAGGCATCGGGTATTGCATCATCACACAAGGCATTCAATGAAGTAATAAACTCTCATCTTCGAAAGTGACCAAGGCACACCCCAGCTACGATTACCAACTGTTCAGGGAAAACATCATGGGTGATTTAAATAAAAGGTCACTAGTTGTTGAACCATACATACAACTGGATGCTGCCTGTTTGAGATTTAAATGGTTGAGTCATCAACGCAGAACCCTGCAAAGTGCTGACACGGAGTGAATAAATCTGGGTCACTAGTTCTCAGCGTCCTGATGATCTTGGCCAAGTATTCTACACTCCGTTAGCAAGCTCAAGCCAACAGACAGGGGTTTCATGGATCGCCACCTGCATGACTCTACAGGAATCGATAAGAGATGAATGGCGATTCAAAATCAGTCGCAATGAGGTAGGTTTGTTAATATCTGAGCTTCACCTAAATTCAGACATTATTCCTTTCATCAGCTTTATCTTACTTTATCTGCTTCTAATCAGTTTAACAGCTTAGGGCTGTGTTATTTTGAATTCTTTGCTGCACATTTCACTGCCTTCTGTTGTGTGCAAAACTGAAGCATAGTATTATTAGCCAGATACAGTATTATTATCAGATACATTCTGTATGCCCCCATACGGGCAGTTTAACCGGAGATCGAACCCGTAACATATGTAGATGGTTGTCAAATCCAAAGGGTGAATTCTAAGCAGATAACTTGTTATCGCTAAGTACACCTGAATAATAACCACAAATACATAACTAACTTCGTATGCACGATTGTACACTTAACAGTAAAAACGTTGAAAATATGTGCAGCTTTCAGTATGCGGTGAACAAAAATCTCAATAAGTCTAGTATGAGATTAGTGCTTCCCAAATATCACAGGGAACGTCGGCAAGTCCCTTCTAAGCTAAAGGATGTGTAGTGAAATGATAAAATGTGTTAATCACTCTATCGATTTAAGAAGCTGTATCAGACTAGTTACTGACGAAACGTTAGTGAGGATACGAAGGATTAGTTTTGCATTTACGAAGGTGTGTCATCCTTTACGCATGTGCTATATCCCGTCACCTATCTAAGAGTGTACGTATTGCACAGTGATTTGCCATTTTCTTTACCAGCACGAGATATAATGATAATGGTAATAGCTTTATTCCAGAACAGTACTTGCGATACAGAGTGCAATTCTCAGCATTTTATTAAAGTATTGCATCCACTTTGTAAACATATGGTAAGTAGGAATAGGTAAGAAAAACCAGTGCATTCCGACTACATATCGCCCTCGTTGAATTGATCCTGTCAAGTGGTGTGATCTGGCAAATATTAATGTGGCTGAGCGTAATGTCAGATAATTCGAGAAAGTCGACCGATGAGGTTATGAAGCTTTGTCAGGGGAGGTGGTCAAGGCATATGCTGCGCATGTTGATCAAACACCTTCCCTAAGAGATATGCCAGTTAAGGTAGTTAAAGTTGTCATACCGTGTGTTGGCGGCACAGTGATTAGGACTCTCGCCGACCATGTACATGGCCCGGGGTTCGATATCCTGCCGACGCACACCCGATATCTACGGCCGGCTTACGAAATTTGGGCTACTGATATCACATGCTGCAATTTCATACTTGTATCAAAAATACGGTATGACAGGAAGCTGTAATCAAAAATAATCCAAAAATATATAACATCAAGCCATGAGGTGATTAGCTACTGATCTGAGCCAAAAAGGTAGATATGAGAATTAATCAGTACTAACAGATGTTCTTGGCTGCAAACGCACTAAATGACAACAGTCGCTGTCGATTCACGCATTTGTGTCTGTCACGTAAATAACTGTAGACAACTACAGTCGCCGAATGCATAAATGATTCCGCTTGACGAATACAACTTTCCTCAGAGGGTCACATGTATGTGTCCCCTGAAGGTGTGTGACCAAGACTAAGAAAGACCAGTGTTGTTTATAGTGGACACTGCTGTTACTTTTCTTAACAATGTGAACTAAGGTGGTTCTCAGCCTTTTAATACTACTAGATTGAACATCCCAATACCAATTGTGTACTTTATACAGCAATTTTGCGTCTGTGCAGTTTGATATGTTAAAAAATTTCATACTGTCCGAAAAACAAAGACAGTTATATCAATGAGACCATTATGCATTCTTAACGTAATATTAATAGTCGAAACTTTACACTGTAATAAAATCAGTTACTTACATGATGTGATGATGAGTTAGAAAGTGCAGGACTTTCTGAGAAACTACGACTATTAGACTTGGAGGACTTCGGCTGAAATTCTGTGATAATAACACTATAGCCATTTGCAAAGATCTCAAATAGTAGGGGTGAAGACCGATCAAAGTGTTTAAGACGAAAATTGCTAAACCTAAGTAAATTGATATGAAGACTAAGTACCTTGATACGCTTTGTTTACACTTTGATTCCCTTTTCTTTTTGTGCTCATCATCCTTTTCCTTCAGAATAGTTTGAGCAATTAACTGCTGTTGCTCAACTACTTGATTGTTAAGACGCGGTTTCCTAGACAAAAGGTTAAACAGAATCCTATAACAAACCTCGTAGAAGTACCCTTCCTTGTATGACAAATTTCGCATTTATATGACTCCTTAGGGTTTATATAAGTACATACGCTGCAATCCCATTTGTCGTCGTCATCACTACGTAACTTTCGATGAACCCTAAAGATAAAATAATATAAACCCACTTACCGATGAAAATCGTTTGCCTTTGCTTCCATTACATGTGTGAGACAATATAATATCCAACAATGTTAAGCTTTAATTCTCCCCCTCTAGTAAGAAACCTTGAAGTGAAGGTCAACTGTATGTCCAAGTGATGATCAGAAGAACAGAAGACAGCTTAAGAGGAATTTTTATAGAAATGAAAGTGATAGCAGCTCTGCAAGTACTCAGGTACTGATTTATGGGGACAAAATGAAATGTAAACAATAAGATCTAATTCTTCTTTAAACCACTACATCAAGTTATGAAGTACATGAAGGCCGTTAAAGGGGGTTCCCCTTACGTATCTCTTCAACATTTGTGTTGTGAGTACAGAGATACATGGATGTCTTATTGTCCTAAATGATTAATTCATACACAAGAAAAACAATGAACAAATTACTGCTCCTTCCATAATCCTATTCCTTGCCCGACTGTCAGTATGCATCATTTCTGACAGATATATATAAATCGTTAAAACTCACTGAGCTAGATTCATTATTAACCTTCCTTCAATTTTAATCGTCTGTTAAAGTGATAACTTCAATTATACTTGCCACTGTTATTCACTCTCAGCCCCTGTCAATACAAAAAACAAATATATTCTTCGTTGGAATCAGAGTGAAGCAATGACGCGGGCTAGTGAAAGGATTTAGGAAGACAGTCAGTGTGTTTTCGTTCACAGAAACTAAATGTAAGCACGAGAACATTGATTTCCACACAATATCCATAGTTGGTGGGTGGCCCAAACTGCTAAAGTGATGAAAAGTTCTAGGGTTAAAGTCCTCGGAATTCGCGGAATAAAAGTGGACTCTCCAGGATGTTAACTGAAGGGTCAATAATCAACACTGAGCACACTGAAGGAGTGGCTATCACAATGCTACCAGTAGCAGCCAAATCTCTAAACGAGTTCGGGACCGTTTTCGCCTGGATAATAATAGCAACATTTAATTCAGTAGGTCGGCGACAAACCTGCACACCCATAGACAGCCGAGGCCAAGAGAAGAGGGAAGATTTCTACAAATGAACAAGACGCCAAATGGCAAAGTCACTATTCTAATAGTTGATATGAACGCCAAACAAGGTGAAAACTGTACAAGAAGAGATCTCACCACCAGTCTCTAAAGCTCTCGAGGAAAGAAATGAGAACGGCGTACCTTTTCTCTGACTTCTGTGACTTTAGCGACCTAAAGATTACAGGCGGTGTGTATAAGCACAGGGATTGACAGTGGAGGACGTAGATTGCACTGGATGTACATGTCAAAAATCGAATACACCTCGTCCCCATCTCCGAAAAAAGAGGAGTCCGCGGACATGATTTTGAGAAGTGCACAACATCTATCCTCCAAACATTAAAAGCCTTCAGAGAAGCTGGGCCGTTTTACACACTTCCGAACTCAAAAAGGGGAGGAGGAAAGAAATCCGATAAAGTCAACTCAACCACGAAATACGCAGATACTGTTCTAAAAATTTAAGGCCGGCAATCCTATATTCAATTACACTCTTCACCTATGCATTCTGGATCTATTCTTAGCAAGCTACTGATTACAAATGTAATTCATCGCTTAATACATTTCAAGGATGTTTGGATGTAGTTCTTATCTAGCAGCCCGATTCTAGCTCTTTGCTTTCCATTATCACGAATATCTTCCTGATACTTTCTGAATGAAATTATGGTCGCTGGCATACTCTCGCTGAGTGTGCGAATTTAGCTGAGCTATATTAGACCCACCCTTCAATAAAAACGTCTGTTGCGTTTGTCCTCAATCCCTTCAGGTCTCATATTTTGTCAATTTCATACCTTACAACTCTTAGAAATAGTAATAATGAATTAATATGCAGTTCATACTTAGGTAAAGCACAAAGACTAGATAGACACCCCTGTGTGATGTTAAAAACCAGTCACCTTGAATTTGCAATATCGTCCTGTGATAATAAAATTTCTGTCATTAAGGAATATTGTAGCTCTATACTGGTACAGACTAATAAAACTGAGTTTAGAAGTGCGGAAATTCGGCCAAGATCTTGACTACCTTGTTGTTGGTACAAACAGACTATTATCACAGTTTTGTAAACTATATGTCCCAGTTTATTTTGCGTGAATCCGGCTTTTGTCTTTAGGAGCTCTCAATTGTCTCGCAAAGTGAATAATATTTACCTTACAAATATTTATCTTCCAAGGTGTAACTATGACGTGGGACCAGCTTTAAAGCTATATCTCGAAGTGTCAAAATTTATGAGTAACAATTGTTATTGCACATATTTTCTTCTGCGTAAACTTGTTTGCATAGAAAACATGTTATTTTACGGGCATGATCGAATTTCATGAAAATGCACTGACTGAAGCGTCGATAAACCTATATTATTGTAGTTTGAACAGTGAACCCATCATGCAATTTATCAGAACAGTGTATCGAAGGTAAACAGCTATTTATGTATTTCAAGGATGAACGACAAATTAACAGTTGTTCTTCAAACCCACCTACATATGTCAATGCAATTAAAGATTGAACGATCAATGCATGGTTGTTTGCTCAAACCCAACTTCTATAATTTTCGCGGAGGTATCAATAAACCAGTCATCGTCTCATCGGTCGCTGTTCAGAAAGAAGATTGTAATATGTTCACAGACCTTAGTTAGCTTAGTTTTTTTATATGTTGGTGTAACAATAAAGAATTCTCGAGCAACAGATTGGTGTTTTGGTTTTTTCGTCCGTTATTACTAAGCGTTTCTGAAAACTTCAAGCGACAGCGTGAGCCCGAGCGTAGCAAGAGCTGGGAATTAACGGTTTACGGGACATGGCTGACAGTTTCTGATGGTAGAAACAGATCTGGCGGATTCAGTCAGTTGGTGAAAGTTTGGATAGTCACCGTTCATCTTTCCTGGTGCCGGTCAAGTCCTCTTTGAACAAGCAATATCTGGAACAATTTTGGAATTGGGTCAAGTTCAACAATGCCTGGGTCAAAGAAGGGACAGAGCGTCTTGGATGCAAACAGGAAAGTAAGTCATTGTGACTTGTCTGTTAATTGTAACGATGTGTCTGATGTTAAGCATGACATGGTTGATGTTACTGTTTCGCCGTTCAGGGATAATAGGAACATCAAACTCCCTAAATTTGAACCACGGTGTTTCGATGGAAACCCGGCTGATTATTTACAATTTGTAAAGGAGTTTGAGATCATGTTGAGTAGTTTTTATTAAGTGATGAATTGAATTTAATGTATTTGATGAGATATTGCACTGGAGATGCTTCAAGAGCTATACAGTGCTGTAAGCTCATGACCCCTAATGAGGGATACGATGAGGCTATGAGCATACTACGTCAAAGGTTTGGAAGACCTTCGATGATTGTAAGGAACGCATACGAAGCTGTCAAAGGTAACGGCAGTCAACTTCAAGATGACTCCAAGGCACTTACTGAGTTTTTAGATAATCTTATGACTTATAAGAATACCTTGATTTCTATGAATTGCATGAGTGACCTCAACTCGAGTTTTATACTAGAAGTAATAGCAAGACGCCTACCTACTCGACTGCAAAGGAAGTGGGTGAAGATAAGCTCCCGTATGGAGGATCAGGGTATCGAGCCAAAGTTTGATGATATCCTGAAACTAGTAAAAGATAGTGTCAATCAATCTATGAGCAAGTTCGCCAGTCTATTAAATCTCACCCCTAGAATAGAGCAGTCTGAGAGCAAAATGCAATCATTGATGACGAATAGGCCTCAGAGAGGTGGATATCGAGAAGGCTCCATGATGTCTAGTAATGCATATAGACCTAGTGAGTGTAACAGGTTTCGTAGTACATCCTCAACAGATAAGTTACAAGATGCAAGACAAACACGGTTGTGTTTTACACGTTTGCAAGAGGTGCATACAAAGGTGAACTGTGAATCAGTGAGCAAGTTAAGTGATAAGCTAAATGTGAAATCAAGGTCTGACTCCGAATTGTGTGACGATAACGGTGTTGTGAAGAAGTCTGTAGTTGCAACTGGTAAGCCATTGTTGAATAGAGTGTCACAGAATAGAGTTACTGCTTCAGAGTGCAGTTCTGACTCCACAAGTTTACAAAGTATAACTAGTCAGAGTGAAGATATAAAACCTTTAATGATTTGTGAGGAGGAACCAAAATTGTCTACTTCTGTTATTAAAGAGTTTGAAAATGATGAAGTTGACGGTAAAGTGAATATTTGTGATAATGATCATGATAGTGCAGATTTGTCTTTGGTTGATCATTATGAGATGAGGGATATGCCTACTACTGCTAAGTTAAATAAAGGTTCTGTACAACTACAACGTGAAGTAGAATTGAACGCAGATGCAGTTGCAGAAGGCATGCATACTTGTGAGACCGTCAGTGTGAGTGATCAGCATGTAGCCCACCTATCATCAGATGCTAGTGCTAAACCTGAGCTGATAGTAAAAGACAGCAGTGGTGGTAATCTTGCAGTTAGACAACTCTCTGAAAGCCGAACAGCAACAGCTTCTGATCCACCGCTAAGTTCATCAACTGGTATCAAACAGTCGTCGTTGGTGTTGTCATCCACAATGAGAAAGACACCCATCAACTCAAGTATCTTGTGCAATGACTATGATAGTATCAGTGCGTTTGAAAAGACGAAAGATATTGCTCAGTTTAGTGAGGATAAGCCAAGTGTAAACGAGAGAGTAATTGTTAAATTGACTTGCATGAATAAAGGCATTTCTAGTTTCAAGTTACTAATTGAATGCTATTATCTTTGGTGTAAATTACTCTGTTTCTACACTTGGTTGATGAGATATGTCGTGTGTTTGTTCGTCATCTATATTCTACGATACAATGACATGGGCGTGTTGCCGTTCAGATTTGAGGATATAGCTGATAGAAGGAAGTTAGCAAATGAACTCTGCGACGATTTTCCAACCGAGAGCGTCAACCTGAGAAAGGTTGTAGGCGTACTGCTGTAAGTCCTACAATTCTTCAAAGGGTAGCGCATCAATGAGCAGTCCAATATGCTTGGTGTATGATCTTGTACAT